GTACAATTTTTACCCAATGCTTGCTGTTTATGTATATCAGGCATGCTACAAATCCTGACTGCAGGAAGCACTGCATTAAAACACAAATTGAATCAACAAAAAGACAACCAAAAAAATTGAAAATAAAATAATGAATCCGAGAAAAGGGAAAGCTATAAAGATGAAATTAGAGTTTGTGTCTTTCACAAATATTAGCTGGTCTGCAGAGTGAAGTTTATATACGACGAGTCTGAATAATTTCACAGTTTTTTGGGGTGTGAAATGCATGAACACTGCATGATTATATTTAATTTTCACTAGATAATCATGAAAATATATAGCAGATACTTCAATAAGAATATAAATGAATAAATTTTAAAAAATTTAACAATAACAAGAGCACATTTTTTCCTAATTTACTTTCTTTGGACATTCCTATTTGTCTACGGTCTATCCCAATTTCAAATGAGATAGTCAAATGGGCTATTTCATTCTCCAGATTAGTTTCGCACACTGTATGTATGAACCTAGAGGATTATAAGTTAATTCTGCTCTGATTATATGTGTAATGTATAAGAACAAACTTATAAAACATAATAAATGTGATGCAAAATGCATGGAATTCATTTTATATTGAATATGATACTAAACTACTAAAGGTTAATCAAATTGATTCAGTGTTAAAAATATGGCATGCAAAATGAAAGTAACGGTTTCAGTAAATTGCTACATTGAAAAATTGAAAGGCTGTATGTATGCACATAAATTTGCAATGAAGAGAAGGTGTGTAATGCACCATGTTTGCTCATCACAGCCAAAAAAAAAACAACACATTTGTTATTTTAAGGATAACATCAACCCTAAACACTAAAAATGGATGAAATTTAATTAAATGCATTTTCCTCTTTTTTAAAAAAATATTTTGTATTTGAATCTAATAAAGTTGTTCTCTATTTATAAGCAGGCTAGCAAGGAATTGATTTATCAGTGAAATGCATGTTAAACATGTTATACTAAGGAGGAGAAGGACCTTGAGCTGAAAAAATACTTGTCATTCAATTTTTTTCATATTTTGTATATTTCTAATTAAGTATGTCCCACATATCTTAAAGCAGTTATATCATTAGGTTTCTTACCTTATTTTGGAGATATTGATTGACAATTACTATGCCCTACTGTATCTAAGTGGAGTTTTAATTCTCCATGTTTCCGGGCTAATTACTCTGTCCTTAATGGGATTTTTTAAGCATATGTAAAAAATATCAAAGTGGACATGTATCTTTTAAATTATTTCAGAGTATAACTAGGATTTAAAATTCAAAAAAGCAAGTTTTGTCTATCACACTGCATCTGGATAGGGAAAATTACGCACTTTTTAAGACAACTTAAACAATAAAAAACGTAATTTACAAAAAATTCTATCATTCAATATTTTTTAATTTACGTTGAAATGCAAATCCTTCAAATTATTGAATAACTGTAAAAATTTCAAATGATGAAGCTGACCTCATTATTTCACAGGACATCGTTAAAGAGGACATAAGCATGACAAAAATGTGTCATGTTACATTTCTCGACTACGAGAAAAACCAACTATGACGTCACAGGTAAGCTAAATAAGCGAAATAAGATATACCTACATATGATTTCCGTCATCAGCCATGCAAAAATAATTTTTGTGTTCCCCATTTCTCAAAATATTTCATCATATACTGATTATGAACTGTTTTTACATAATACAGTGGCTTCCATTTTATCGGATAGCGGTTTAACGAATATTTCGGCTATTTCAATATAATATCAGAGCACAAAACCATTTCTTATATATTTATTAATAATTTCACCTGATATTCTGATGAAAAAATACTGGAATTTTGTTTTATCCCATACAAAAATTTGGACTATCATAGTGTTTTTTGATAATCAGCACTTTGTTCACACCTCCACAGAGCTCGACATTAACGCTTGTCCGGTACCAGCGAAAAAAAATTACGGACAAGTGAATATTGCTGGGCACTTGTCCGATTGGACAAGTGCATTTTAATATAAAGAAGTCTTCAAATAATAAAAAGAACGACTATTGAAAGTTCATCGGTAAAGACGTAAGCAGTACATAAAAAAACGAACTTCGATCCCGATATGGATCGCTATGTAATTGAGTTCACACTTGATCGGGATCGAAGTTCACTAATTGCATACTACTGCAAAGGAGGGCATGAAGTTACGTCGAGTTACGAAGTTTAGGTTCTTTTTGATAATTGTGAACATTTATGTTGTTGTCAGGATAGAAAGTCTAGATAAAAGTTTGTTTTTATGTGTTTGTTGTATTTATCAATAACATCACGAATGAATCACATGTAATGGACTTTATATTAGTTTTCAAGTTGACAGTATTGTATCTTTATTGAACAAATTTCGGACCAGTGAAGTTGAAGTTCGGACAAGTAAATGTCTTGGTCACTTGCCCGATTGGACAAGTAAGGGGAAAAAATTAATGTCGAGCCCTGCTCCACCTTCGTATGTGAAGCCTTTGTTTACACAGTTTGACACCAATTACCTTGACTGGCTTGAGTACGACAATGAGGGGATTAGTTACGCCTGGACGCACACAGGCACCTTACCTGTGTCAATAGTGGGCATAGTAAATAGATATGTTTTGATTACAGTTGTGGTGATCAGCTTGGGTTCAATGATGCACTTGTTAATTATGACAGTTATCTGCAATTTTTTCGGCGTGAAATTTTAATTATTGAACTGATTAGCTTGTGTATGACAATTTGCTTGGATAATGAAATAACCCTATTCAATCGTTTAACTTGGTAAATTGGCTTAATATTTATTCACTTTTCAGTGCAAAATTTATGGTAAAAATCACAAATGGCTCGTTCTATAAAAATACGTCTCAAAATTCATACCAACTTTCTCGACATGGCTCTCAAAATCTCTCTTCAGCAGACAAGAACGAGACTGGTAAACTCACACACAGTATAAAATACGTAACCGTATTAAAGAAACAAATCCAAAGGAAACAATTACATATATTTAATATTTTTGTTTATTTTCAATTTACAATCTATCCAGGGAAAAATAGTTTACGGTTATTAGTCAAGCATTTAGTCTACTTCCTTTTCCAAAATGGCGACCATCGAAGAAGGAATGTAAACATGTGCTGAAGAAAGATGGCAATATCTATCAAAGAATATACTCTATACGTCAATTTATTTGATAAAAAATTTCATATTAAATTCATAAGTAAGTGAAATAAATTATTTTTAGTAAAGTCATTAAGTAAACATGTCAAAAGAAAACTAAGTGCAAGCTTGAAATTTGCTAGCTACGATGTATTATCAATACATGTAGCTCTATACATCTATCTTTGGACTCGGTATGGAGCAATCGGCTATTCTAATTTTCGGCTATTCGGATAAAACTATGCTGACAACTTGACTATTCGATAAAACGGGAACCACTGTAATACCACCCCTGTGTTCACCGAGTATGATCTTGCTGTACTAACAGATCATGTATGACGTCACCGACTTGTTGGACACGCAGTTTAGGGAAACAGAGGAGTGGATCAATCTTTTTCATAATTTGTTAATGTTTACAAGAACGTAAAAACTTTTTAATTTTTTTATATAAGATGGTAATTAAAGTTAAAAAATTGTCAAAAAATTATACAAGAATTAATGCTTTACACATATTGCACTTATATAAACGGAGACTATGATGTAGTTAAACAGTCATGTGACCATGTGTCCTTCATCCCCTTAAAATGAATTCATACAAACACCCAGCATATCGGACCTTTATGGCACTCTAAACAGATATTAATATACTGTACATGTATTACGAAATACAAGTATCAAGACTTCAAGTACAATTTTTTCTATAACAAAATTAAGCTATCTGTGTTTAAGCTGAATGCAAGTATTTTACATTTTTTAATGATGAAAAATTAATAAAGAAAAAAAAAACAAGAAAGAACAAATGTTTGAGAGTTCTGACTATATACTGAATTGCGATTGACTTAAAAAGAACATTCAATGGTGGACTTTTTTTTTTCCTTTACCGTGTTATACTTGAATTCTTAATAATGAACTTGAACATCCTAACATTACTTGTATTATATTATCTATCGCAGTGTTACTGCTAGTGGTGTTCCAATCATCGATTATAATCGAAAATCAGTCGATTGTTGGCATAATCCAAGCGCTCGATTACAAAATTTCTATTCCGATTAATCGGGTTATTTATTTTATTTTACAAGCGTAATAGTTTTCAAGCCAAATATTCCAGCCGCGACTTTTCTATTAACTTATTTGTGTATCGTAATGGCGTAGATGAACAGACATTGTATTCATACCCGGGTAACAACGCTAATTCCCGGGTATGGACATACTTTGGATTCTACAAAATGAATGAAGAACCAGCTGGATTAGATCGAACGTTCTATCGTTAAAATATTGTCCTAAGGACTAGGGCTTGTCCCGAAACACAGTTAGATTATTCTAACTACAGCTGGACCACCACAGAAAGTAGTTATTCAACCATTCTTACCATTTGATAAACTAAATTGACAGACTTTGTAAATGTCCGATTATAATTGATAATTAGTTAGTTACAGTAGCCCGATCATCGATTATGAAATTCTTACCGATTCCCATCACTAGTTACTGCATATTAATTCTAATGCACGAAGAATGTTTATATCAATATACCGTTCATTCTGACTTTGTGGGCAGAATTATGAATTTCATAATACTAGAGAAGATAAGCTACTTATCTTCACGTAGGCAAATTTAATAAAAATTTCAGATATAATGCCGCAAATTCTAAGGAACATTATATCAAATTTTTCTGAACATGTTTTCCCGTAAAAATTTTTATGCAGTAAACCCGCGACCAACCTTAAACTGTGCTTACGATCAAACAAGTTCGAAAGTTCCTCGTTCTCTCGTCTAATTATCATAAATATGTGTTATATTCAATTGCTCTACTAATAATAACAAGATACTTACTGTCTTACAGCTCTTTACCCCTGCTAAACGCCGCCATTGTCCTCCCACAATGCATTGCGTGTATCGCTACACCGTATTGTGGGATATTCCAATTGACATTTATAGATACACAAAATGTTGAAAGCGAGGGACTTAGACCGACTGTTCTAAAAATAGATTTTGCGTTGTGGGACATTTTTCTATATATCCTTATGGGTCAAAAAAATTATTTTTTTTGTTTTTTATGGTAGGAATAGCATTTCCAACATTTCTGTGAAGTTTAGACTACATGGTTTATGGGTCAAAATATAGATGACCCATAAACCACCTAAGGATCCCACAACGTGAGTCTGAGATACGCCAAATATCCCATAACACGCCTCTTGTATAACTATATATATATATATATATATATATATATATATACTCGAAATAGAAAATTGCCTTTCATGCGGCGAGATTCACAAGAGGAATAACTTCCTTTAAACTTGGCTTACTGGTGGTTTATAGGTCCTTAATGATGGCATAATGGCTTTCTTAAGTCAACATTTAGCACCATTGAACTATCTTTAAGTAATTAATACACCACCATTGAGTTACCATTAACCCATTTCAAAGTCCTTAATGGCTACATGGTTGCTTATAGGTGCTTATTGGTAGCATCTAGACAATTTTTAAGTCACCATTAAGCCAACATAGAAAATTAAACTTATAGGTGCTGAATGTCCAATCTCCATTAAACTACCATTAAACCACCTTTAAGCCACCATTAAGGGGATGAAGGACACATGGTCACATGACTCTGTTTAACTACGTCATAGTCTCCGTTTATATAAGTGCAAAACTTGTATAGCATCAGTTCTTCTTTAATTTTTTGACAATTTTTTAACTTTAATTACCATCTTATATAAAAAAAAAAAAAAAAAAGTTTTAACATTCTTGTAAACATTAATAAATTATGAAAAAGATTGATCCACTCCTCTGTTTCCCTAAACTGCGCGTCCAACAAGTCGGTGACGTCATACACGATCTGTTAGTACAGCAAGATCATACTCGGTGAACACAGGGGCGGTATTATTATGCAAAAGCAGGTCATAATGAGTATATGATGAAATATTTTGAGAAACGGGGAACACAAAAATTATTTTTGCTTGGCTGATGACGGAAATCTTATGTAGGTATATCTTATTTCGCTTATTTAGCCTGCGTGTGACGTCATAGTTGATTTTTCCCGTACTCGAGAAATGTAACATGACCCGTTTTTGTCATGCTTATGTCCTCTTTAACGATGTCCTGTGAAATAATGAGGTCAGCTTCATCATTCGAAATTTTCACAGTTAATCAATAATTTGAAGGATTTGCTTTTCAACATAAATTTAAAAATATTGAATGATAGAATTTTTTGTAAATTACGTTTTTTTATTGTTTAAGTTGTCTTAAAAAGTGCGTAATTTTCCCTATCCAGATGCAGTGTGATAGACAAGACTTGCTTTTTCGAATTTTAAATCCTAGTTATACTCCGAAATATTTTAAAAGATGCATGTTCACTTTGATAATTTTTATATATGCTTTAAAAATTCCTTTATGGACAGAGTAATGAGCCCGGAAACATGGAGAATTAAAACTCCACTTAGATACGGTAGGGCATAGTATTTATCAATCAATATCTCCAGAATAATGTAAGAAACCTAATGATATAACTACTTTAAGACATGTGGGACATACTTAATTAGAAATATACAAAATATGAAAAAAATTGAATGACAAGTATTTTTTCAGCCCAAGGTCCTTCTCCTCCTTAAGTCACCATTACGCAGTCTGTAAAGCTGCTTTAACGGGTAAAATACTATTTTCATTCTCACAAATTATAACTGTCAAGTTTACACATTTGTTAATTTGGCAAAAATAATGTTAAAGAAAGAAAAAAAATAAAATAAAAAAAACGGTCCAGTCAGGATTTGATTCCACGACCTTTAGTTTATGGGGCGCATGCGTTAACCACTAGGGTCTCGGGGCTGTTGAAATCTGATGGAAATATAAAACCTTTAAACAAAATTTGTGTGGACTGGAATGTGAATTTTTTAATGTTTATATTTAAATCTTTATAAGCAATAATACAAATAATTATATTTATATGTTAAAAAATAACTTTTATATTACTTTCATATGTCCTACTCCAGAGTTCGTTGTAAAATAACTTTTTGATTGATGTAATGATTTCCTCGCTCATTATTCGCAGTTTTATTGGCATGAAAAGATTGAAATTGAACAGATATAACACCATTTTGTAATTAAAAAGGAATATATCCTCGAAAGAGAGCGATGGAAAAACAGATTAAAGTTCAATTAAATACATGTATGCTAAGGATAATTACGGTTTTTGTTTTTCGTATCTAATTATTTGACAATCTTTGCGTAACACTTACGTTTATAAAGTATTTTTTAACATTTCTTCTTCAGTTTTCATTCTTTTTATATCACAATGGGTTTCAAAATAATTGTCTTTTTGTCTAGAATCATAATTTCTAATTTGATATATGCTTACGTTTAATATTAAGTTTTGTAAAAATAATTAATCATCAAAATCAGTCACTGTACGTTGTGTATAGCTTCCTGTTAGCTGATCGGGGACTGGTGGTACACCTAATTAACGTATATTGTCTAACCAGTCGATATACTGTACACTATTTATTTTACCTCGCTTCCCAATGTGTATAAATCTGGTCGGTTGTCAACTTTAATCTGATCGACTGTTCTTCTGAAAATTGATTTTGAAATAACGCGGCTAGGATAAGGCTGTCCGTAAAATATCAAACCGTTCCAACTGCATTAACTTCTCTGAACTACCTATATATGATGTCATAATAGCATATGACGTCAAGTTATTGCATACTTGAGGTGACGACATGACGGGGAAATTGTCATAACTTTTACATTCCTTTCACATGACATGTAAAGATTTCTTAGCGTTGTTTTTTGATTCAATCGTATGGATTATTCTTTAAACTTAAGAGTGTTGTTATGATGTTGAACATTTGTAATTTAATATCGTTATTCCTTTAACTTGTCCGATATACATATATTCAAACAATAAAAAAAATTGACTGTTAAACACTCCCCCTTACACGTCCGTGGAAAGAGTAAGAATTTATGAATCGTGTGTATATTTGACTGGCACAAGTGATCAGTAAGGATAATTGAAGATATAATGTGTGAATCTACTAAAGAAGTATGCCCTTTAACTGAACTTTACTGGGGATTGTATGCAATTTATCCTATTTAGTATAAACGATAGAGTGGAAAATACTCCCTTGTGTATGATTAAGTTGAATTTCTCGTGGAATATTTTCTCAAGAAATAAAATTCAGACTTGCCCCCAGCACTTTATATGTATCAAAGATCAAGATGAATTGATTTATGCGACATTTTTTTTCCATAATGTTGTTTTGCACTTGTGTCGATGCGATTTTTTTGTGCAACATTCAGGAATTTATAAGTGTCCGTCACTTGATCTACAAAGTCATGTGACATCACAAAAATGCATTACTATAATACCTGGTTACACTTTCATCACAAGTTGTCTGCATATTCATACATAGATTACAAATTGAAAAAAAAAAATCTAGCTAAAAATAAAATGTATATTTTAACGCATATTGAGCCTCCGGACGGCCTTAACATAGCTGCGAACAGTAATTGAATATAGACTATATTTTGATAAATTCTTACCTCTGCATTATTTTAAAGGGGGGGGGGGGTTATGGCATTTAACCAAGGATTAATTCAAATTATTCACGATAGAATTCAATGATTGGCTTTATAAACTATACCTATGTATTTTTTTTATATCTTAAACATTTCTCTACCCAAAGAAAAATTAAGATACTTATAATTAGGGATAATATATTTTTTTTTTCAGAAGAAAATGATTATTACAATATTTCCTATGGATTCAGCAGAGGAACGTGGCTCCCCAAACACGAAAGAAAAATACAATGTGTTTTTTTTTTCTTCTTTTTTTTTAAATCAATGTATATTATGTGTTTATGGAAAAAAATAATTTTAAAACAAGTTTTAAACAAACTGATCATTGGTAACGAAAATGTTAAGGCATTGCTGAAGCTCTCTTCAGTGCCAAGTTTATACCCATTGACAAAGATGTTAGAAATAGCGAGACAAAATTATGAATTCAATATGATTTTGCGTAAATGATATTGAAACAACTTGAAACTTAGCATGTTAGTTTAAGGACTTGATAAAGGATGCGTTATGGTGGTTTAATTAAATCTGGACATTAAGCCACCATTAAGCTGTAGCTAAAAGGTGGCTCATTGGTAGCTTAATGAAGTTTGGACATTGAGCACCTAGACGCTGCAGCTTAATGGTAGCTTAATGGTGGCTTAAAGGAATTAGCTTCTATAAGCCACCATTAAGCTACCATTAAGCCATCATTTAGCGATTGCTTAAAGATGGCTTTTCGTCCTGTGCTTGAACCCCTTTAGCCTAAGGATGTTCAAAGAAAAATTTGGTAGAAACAGAATTGTGCCTCGGAAAAATTGAACAAAAATCTAAAATATTAACAAATGTACATTCGGGGAAAGCAACAACAACAGAGAGCGAGACTCAGACCTGAACCCTTGCTACTTGTGACATATCAAAAATTTAATAGTTTTAAAAGAAAAACACTTAATTTTTTTACCAAATACATTAGACGGAGAATATATATCAATTCTATTTTCATTAAATTATTTTTCAAATGGAACATTAATGTATTGGGAAAACATAGGTTCTTTTTAAATGTTAAATTCTGAAAACAAACCATGGAAGAACATATCATATTTTAGTATGTATATACCATTTCTTTACTATTTTATCATTTAATATTTTATGCCAATATTGAATTACATACCGATATTTTTAACATGCATGACATTATTTTATTTAGTTGAGACTTTTGCCGTGTTATTCTCCTATACATGTACAAGAGTTAATTATTTGACTTCCTAAAGAAATTACATTCTCTAGGAACATACACCTTTTCTGTTAAAGCAATGCTAGCAAGGTATTCATCTAACGTT